TAATTTTTTGAGGAACTTCCAGACTGTTTTCCAGAATGGCTGACCAGCTTGCATTGCCACAAACAATACAAGAGATCCTCTTTCTCTGCATCCTTGCCAACATCTGTTGTTGCCTGAGTTGTTCATGTTAGCCATTCTGACAGGTGTAAGGTGATAGCTCATTGTGGTTTTGATTTGTATTCCCCTGATGATGAATGATGTTGAGCATTTTTTCGTGTGTCAGTTGGCCATCTGGGTTGTCTTCTTTGGAGAAGTGTCTATTCTATCTTTTGCCCACTTCTTCACTGGATTATTTGTGTTTTGGGTGTTGAGTTTGATAAGTTCTTTATAGATTTTGGATACTAACGCTTTATCTGATGTGTCATCTGCAAATATCTTCTCCCATCCTGTTGGTTGCCTTTTAGTTTTGCTGATTGTTTCCTTTGTTGTGCAGAAGCTTTTTATTTTGATGAAGTTCCAATATTTCCTTTTTGCTTTTGTTTCCCTTGCCTCCAGAGACGTGTTGAGTAAGAAGTTGCTGCAGCCAAGATCAAAGAGGTTTTTGCCTGCTTTCTCCTCGAGGATTTTGATGACTTCATGTCTTACACTTAGGTCTTTCATCCATTTTGAGTTTATTTGTGTGTATGGTGTAAGAAAGTGGTCCAGCTTCATTCTTTGCATGTTGCTCTCCAGTTTTCCCAGCACCATTTGCTGAAGAGACTGTCTTTATTCTTTTGGATATTCTTTCCTGCTTTGTCAATGATTAGTTGGCCATATGTTTGTGGGTCCATTACTGGGTTCTCTATTCTGTTCTATTGATCTTTCTGTTTTTGTGCCAAATTTGTAGGTCTTATAGAAGGTCACTTAACTTTCTAAAGGTTAGAGTAATAGTTTGTAGTTGATTGGTCAAGAGAAGGAAGTCTTTTCTTTGTAAATCTATGATAATTCAACCTGACTTCCAGATCAGAGAGATATACTTACGCTTTTGTTGTAAGAAAAATAATTTGAGATAGTATGTTTTCATATCAGATATGAACTTGTTTCTGATCACATGTTCATATGCCTTAGAAATGAGGTTCTTGTTGGAAAAAAAATGCAAACTTTTTTTGTCCCAAATTCTTAAACTTCATACCAATGGTTTCAGCAAATGAAATGTTGAATGCATGTGGGGAAATTGGGTAAAGCCTCATTTAAAACCCTGCAATGATTACTTATAAATTTAAATGAGAGAAAAGGAATAAAAAGGATCAAATGGACTTGTAGGTTTTCCCTGATATGAAAACCAACTCCTCAACGTATTGAAGTTGATGGAGAAGCCAGGAGAATTCAGGCAAAAAGTCAAATAGACACTCACTCTTTGTGCAAAATTAGCCACTACTCCACCCCAGATGTGGAGATGGTATTCTGGCAGCTTCTCTTGGGGGAAAAGGTTCTGTTGTTTTTGTATGGGAGCTTCAGAGGGCAGGCCAGGCATGTCTGTGCAAACCAGGCTTAATACCCCTCTAGCTCAGGGGTGATGCTCAGGATTTGGTTGATTTTCACAGTTCTTAAAGACCTCACTCTTTAGCTCTTTTAAGTGGCATGAATGCAGTGAAATAATGAAGCCAGAGCCGTAAAATGTACTTGAGAACTGGTAATATGAAGGGTAACATTACCAAATACCTTGAGTTCTAAGATTTCATGAATTATACACTGCATTTATAAATTAAATAATAGCATATGGAGATTTAAAATATCTCACTAAGGGTATTTATCAAATGTAAGATGCACCACAGTTTCAGAAACATTAGTATGTAAAACAGTGAGAATATATGGTAATATGACCTTTGATCTGAAACTAATTTGAATGAATCTTTTCAATAGAATTTACCAGCAGGAGAAAAGTTACCAAGGATAGTGGAATATTAATCACTGCTGAGGTTGATGGAAAATCAAGGATGAACCTGTCATGCTATAAGTCTTTGGCCCAATTCAGAGTTAGTTGCAATGTAGAATTGTGGGGATGCCCACTTTCGGACATATAGTTGGGGAACCTTTATATGATGTTAGTGTGTTGATTGAGGAGATGGGATTCCACTCTGCAGGGGCACCAAAAGTCAAGGCAGACCCTGCAAATCAGAAATGATATTTTTAAATCAATATTATACAGATATGAAGTGAAGGAGTGATAGAATGGAGAAAAGTTTTGAAGATGTTTGACAAGGCTTTGGAAGTCTTTGCCAGACTATTTGGATGCAAAAGTGTCCATAGCAAACGTGTGATGCCTCTGCCTCCGCTATCCTATGCAGGAAAGGCATTAGGGAAATATCTTACTGGATGAATCAAATACTTGAGCCTACTAAAAATGTCACATTGTGGGATCCAGAGTCTGTTGCTCTTGGACCAAAGTCCCAACAGACACTTTATATACCATTGTTTATTGTCACAGACTGCATGATGCTTTGGCTCCAGCCTTCGGTCAAACCAAGATGTTAAAGATGATACCTAACCAAGAGCACCAAAGTTATCAGAAAGTGCAGCCCCATTACCCTTTTTTCTATATCTTTTATAATAGAAGAATACTAAGAGGTAAAAATAATAATAAGGGATAGGCTTACTTGGGCTGTTGAGGGAGTAAGTGAATAAGAATTTAGGATTTATGGGCCTTACACATCCATACACAGGAAGAGCTTGAGAAATCTTAGAACATTTTAAGAAGGGCTCTCATCCCAATCCATATATCCATAGTAACTGTAAGTGGTTCTCCTGTCCACTTTATGTAGAACAGCCCAGTTTGATTTAAAAGTGTTACAGGAGAGAAAGAAGTTCTTTCACCGATCAATCCATTGTCAAGTATTGGCTTCTTACTATAAGCTCAGGATGGTGACACAGAGACCACACAAAAAGTAAGGCATAGGGGCACCTAGGTGGCTCAGTTAGTTAAGTGTCTGACTTCAGCCTAGGTCATGATCTCACTGTTCCCGAGTTTGAGCCCCACATTGGACTCTGTGCTGACAGCTCAGAGCCTGAAGCCTGTTTCAGATTCTGTGTCTCCCTGTGTCTCTCTGCCCCTCCCCCCTTCAGGCTGTGTCTCTCTCTCAAAAATAAACATTAAAAATTTTTTTTCAAAGAAGTAAGGTATAATTCCTGCAGGAAAAGTTACTAAAATTCCAGTTGGAGATAATACTAATGCAATTGATCATGTAGTAAGTAGTTGATAATTGGGGATTAAATTGTATTGTAACTACAAAGAATCCAAAAGGAAATGGGTCATTGAGAACAAAGAAATTTGAGGTGTATTCTTAGAGAAAATGTCAAAAATAGATATCTCCATCCATAAAAATCAGTATTTCCACAACTGTATATGTTTCCCATTATGTGCTAAGAATTGTAATAGGTGCTATTTTTGTTCTTTATTTCATCGTCTACACATAAATTACTTTATTGTGACTGTCATAACAATGGTTAATCTTTATTCAGAGCTCAAAGAGTACTACACACTATATTTGTGTTATCTACGAATTAGGTGGTGATGGTATTCCCACATTATAGGTGAGGTTATTAAGGCTTAAAGAGGTACAGTAACTTGCTCAAGTTCACATGACTAGCAAGAAGCCAGAATTTGAACCCAGAACCATTTAAGTTAAAAGACCTAGCTCCTACCCATGACCATATGCCACCTCTTCAGCCTCTTTTGAAACTAAACAAGTGGCAATTTCTTTTTTTTTTTTAATTTTTTAATGTTTGTTTATTCTTAGAGAGAGAGAGAGGGAGGGAGGGAGAGAACACAAGCAGGGGAGGGGAAGAGAGAGAAGGAGACATCAAATCCAAAGCAGGCTCCAGGCTCCCAGCTGTCAGCACAGAGCCTAATGTGGGGCTTGAACTCATGAACCACAACATCATGACCTGAACCACAGTCCAACTCTCAACTGACTTAGCCACCCAGGCGCCCCAACAAGTGGCAATTTCTTAATCATTTGTGCTACACTTAAGTCTTTAATTTTCCTCAAAAATGACATTGTAAACACCTAATTTTGCCAGCTTCCATAATATCTTTATATCATAAGATTCTCAAAGCCATAATAACCAAAATTCACATGAGTTGAAACAAAAAAAAATCAGAATAACATGGATAGAACTTGGGGGCATTCTGTTAAGTGAAATAACTTTGATAAAGCAGGATAAATACGGTATGATCTCACTTCTATGTGGAATCTAGGAGGAAGAAAAAGGACCATCAAATAAAAACCAAGCTCATAGATGCAGAGAATAGGTTAGTGGTTGCCATAGGTGGAAGTTTGGGGTGGGTAAGATGGCTGAAGAGGGCCAAAGGTACAAACTTCCAGATATACAATAAGTCATGGAAATATAATGTACAGCATGGTGACTATAGTTAGTAACAGTGTGTTGCTGCATAGTTGAAAGTTGCTAAAAGAATAGATATTAAAACTCCTCAACACAAGAAGAAAAAAAAATGAAGCTGCATGGTGGTGAATGTTAATTAGATGTATTGTGGTGATCATTTCACAGTGTGTACAAATATTAAATCATTATGTTGTAATCTGAAACTAATACAATGTTATATGTCAGCTATACCTCAGTTAAAAACAAAATCAAAATAATGCAAGCTCCATCACAGCATTAGGAGAGTTGGGAACATATGCTATGTAATCACAAAGAACAATGGTAGGTCATTTTGGCAACGGTGGCATTCAAAAACTCAAATATTAAAAACCAAAAATATGAAACAGTTTATAGTATTTTGTCTTTAAAGGCTTCATGACGTAAATTACACTGACAGTCTGGTGATGAAAAGTGGTGATGTGGCCTTGGAACCACACAAGTGGCCAATTATATATAAACTATTTATATATGCAAAGGAAGAGGATAAGCATTCATTCAATGCCAGACAGTGTTCTAAGAACACTAAATACTGTGTATGTTAATATGTATGAAATCAATTATCCTGTTGTAAACCCTAGTGAATCAATCTTTTATTCCATCTTAAGAAACGAGATTTTTCTGTATCTTTGTCATTACAGATATTGACACAAGTTATTTAGAAGAAAAGCAACACCATTTCCATAGTTGTTATTCCTATGTCTGGTAAGTTTTAGTTCTTATGTATTCTTCCTATGAAGTTGCATTTTAGAATATGATTATAATATATTTGTTGTTTGTGCCTGTTAAGAATCCCTGACCTCCTGGGGCACCTGGGTGGCTCAGTCAGTTAAGCAGCTGACTTCGGCTCAGGTCATGATCTCATGATTCATGGGTTCAAGCCCCACCTCAGGCTCTGTGTTGACAGCTTGGAGCCTGGAGCCTGCTTCACATTGTGTCTCCCTCTCCCTCTGCCTCTCCCCTGCTGGTGCGCTCTCTTGCACTCTCTCTCTCTCAAAAATAAATAAACATGTTTAAAAAAATTTTTTTAAAAGAAAAAGAATCCCTGAAATCCTTCTGACAACCCCTTTTCTGGTGAATAATGTGTTTCATGTGGTTAAAAGAGATGGCTTTGTACAGCAATGTGTACATGAGTTGGTGAATCAGAGTATTCATCCCTGTGGCAACAGTAATTGGTCCAGGAATGAGCCCCAATGCAAAATGAACTAATCAGAGGCTTTCCTGGGACTTGGGCAAAATAAAATGTTTTAGGAAAAGCTTTCTAATGAGGCTGAGTCACTATGTGTGTCTGGAGTTCCAAAAGGGCACCTGGCCTACCACATGGAGAAAGTCAGCCTAAAACCTGCAAGGAGAGAGCTTATGACACTCCAGTTATGTGGGCCAATATATTCCTCTTCTTTCTTAATTAGCTTGAGCTAGGTAGAAAACAGTACTGTCTAAATACAGTGATTATGGTAACCTCATGGAGACAATGAGTAGCTGCAGAATAAGTGAGAAATTATAAGATAGACTTAGCAGTGACATTGACTTGTGACCTCAAGCAAGCTACTTTGTCTTCACGAGTCTGTCTCCTTTATCAGTGGATATACTAATACTGGATCACATAAAATCTGAGACCCTATGTCATCTTCTGTTTTTATTCCAAATTCCATTGTTTTAACTTTATTAATTCATAGTTATCTCACCTAGAAGTCATAGGGAATGGTGAGTGATACACACTGCTTATTAGCACATCTAATTAATGCAAGGCTTGTATTTTTAGATGAAGATCACATCTCTCTGTTCCCAGGCCTCATTCCACCTCTAGCCCAAGAAGCTACCTTGCAAATGTGTGATGTTAGACAGTCACAGGGCTTATACAACAGTTCATGCTTGGCTCTGAGAAAATCTATCCTTTCCACCTGGAAAATCATCTTGAATACTTGTACTCAATGGATAGAAAATCATATCCAAAGGCCACTGTGCTATGTCTCTTACTTCATGTCTTTATTTTTTCCTTTACGTTCTTAAACATTTATTCCAACCAATGATTTCCACACAAATGCACAGTGAAAACTTCTAATTCTTTTGGAAAGGAGATTCACATCTATTACATTCAAACACAAACATGGATATGCTAATCAACTCTGAGACTAGAAATTCAACTTTAGCAGCTGTATCCTAATTCTGCTGAAAGTTCTATACTATTTGTCATTTACCTCCTAAACTAAGTGAAAATTATCATATATGGATATCATCATATCTTTTGGATTTTAATCTGCACAGATTATTAAAATCGTACAATTTTTAAAAACTTGCATCTATCCTATGACATTCTGCTCTATGGCAAGCTGTTCAGGAAGAGTGCCAGTTCCGTCTGTGTTCTAAAATGAAGATTAAGCCTCACAATAAGGCCAAGAGCTTACTTGAAATTTAAAAGATGTTGGGGCACCTGGATGGCTCAGTCAGTTAAGCGGCCAACTTAGGTTCAGGTCACGATCTTGCGGTCCGTGAGTTCGAGCCCCGTGTCGGGCTCTGTGCTAACAGCTCAGAGCCTGGAGCCTGTTTCAGATTCTGTGTCTCCCTCTCTCTGACCCTCCCCCGTTCATGCTCTGTCTCTCTCTGTCTCAAAAATAAATAAACGTTAAAAAAAAAAAAGATGTTGTTGTCACTTTATGGATATAGACATAAACGAGACCAGTGTCATAGATAGGCAGGTGAGTTTTCCTAGTTGGATCCTGTTACAACTATCTGTTGTTAATTAAATTTATTTCCAGCATCCCCAGATATTAACAAATGGGTTTCACTGCATATGAAAAACCACCATGTGTAAATTCTGTAGATAATCTCACATGCAACTACATACAACTCTTTTTTTTTTTTAATTTTTTAACATTTTTTTTATTATTGAGAGACAGAGCATGAGCATGGGAGGGGCAGAGAGAGGGGGAGACACAGAATCTGAGGCAGGCTCCAGGCTCTGAGCTGTCAGCACAGAGCCCCAGGTGGGACTCAAACTCACATACCACGAGATCATGACCTGAGCCGAAGTCGGACGCTTAACCAACTGAGGCAACCACATATAACTCTTATATAATCCTAGACATACATAGATATTTATGTGCTTTATACAGGTTTTTTGTTTGTTTGTTTTTAATCCTGGACTGGCGCCTCCTTAGTGATTAATTTTCTAGGAACCTCTAGTTAATTTTCTATATAAGCAGAGAGAATTAGGAAGCCCAATTGCTATGTCAGGGCATTTGATATTCTCTAAAGTTGCAATTTTCAGAGCCTCACATCGGGCTTTGTGCTGACTGTGCAGAGGCTGCTTGGGATTCTCTCTCTGCCCCTTCCCCATTTGCTCTCACTCTCTCAAAATAAGTAATAAATAAAACTTTAAAAAAATAAAAATAAAATAAAAGTTGCAATCTTCAACTTCTAAAATTCTCCCCTAAATCTGATAAATGATGTGCTTAAATTAAATGTTTACAAAAATTTGTAGTGTTTCCCATTTACCAATTATACATAAATAGTATATGCTCCTATTTAAAATAAACCAACAATGTCAAATCTATAGTGTATGTGATGATCCAGTGGGAGGAGTCTTGGGCTAGGTTGTACCTTGCCTGTCACTTTTTTGTGCTTGGACTATTGAGGTAACTTCCTGATTGCTCTGGCTCCAGTATTTTACCTTGATGATTTATTCTAACTAAAATCAGACATATTTTCCAAGCTAACAAGTGTCCCCATATCACCATCCCAATTAAACATCTCCTATTGGCTCCTTGTTGCTTCTAGAATTAATAATAATAGTAATAACAATAATTATGAGTCAATACTTAATGGATTTACTCTATGCTAGGCATTATTTGATGTACTTTATAGAAATTTTCTCATTTAATTTTCATAATAACTCTGAAAGTTCACATTTGTGGAAACTGAGGTCCAAAGAGGTCAGGTTATTTATCCAAGATGACATAGCTAGTACATGATGGAACTAGTACCCAAACTCAGATCTCTCTGACTAAAGTTCATACACTGAGCCATGATCCTATTCTGCTTCCTCATACTAATAAAACACTCTTCTTGGCCAGTCTCTTTCATAAAATGGGAACCCTTCATTTGTTCTGCTAAACCTCTTGTTACTTTTTTACACATACCTTCTTCAGCCCAGTTTTCATTTCATTATCTTAAAGTCATATTCTATCTTCCAGTTCTTCGGTTTTCCATTTCTCCCAATTTTTCCACTTTGGCTCTTCCTTCTCACTTTTGTTTTGCATCCATTCTCTGCTTCCTTAGTCATTCAGTGAACAGGTTGTTAGTATTATGTACCTGCTGATTGGTCATTATCACTGTCTCTCATAAACTCACACACTAGAGGGGTCATCAGATATGGAGGGTACATCAATTGCACCAGAAGCAGCTGAAAAGGATGAAAATGACTCTATCGCATTGCCTAGTACTCAAAAAAGTATTAATAAAGAATCAGAGTCCTAATCACTTTATTAAACCCCATCTCATATCTTCAGGGATAAAGAATCTTATTTTTCCCAGGTAAATTATAAGCTCCTTAAGCATAAAATAAAACCCTGTGTTTCATTTGCATCACTTCCACTCATACCTAGATACAGGTTTTGTGTCCTGCCCCGTTTGTAAGGATTTTCTTTGTGACGTGTGTATTAAATAATATGAATGTCTATATCTGCAAGTATATTTCCAAATATATAGAAGGTTATTGTGCTGAAAGGTAAAGTGCACTGGCATAGAAACCAGGAATTTAAGGATCAAGACTAAAAGCCACTTGAAAGATCTATGCCATCTGATAAATATCCTCTCTGAGGATAGAAATGATGGTTTTTGCCTTACTAACTCCATAGAATTATTATGTTAAGCTAATTAGTGATATGGAAGTCTTTGTAAAGTATATCCTATACCACTGATTTTAAAGTCTCTGTGTATTAGAGTTCAATTGGAGAAACTACACCAATAGGAGATACATATTAAGAGATTTACTCCAGAGGGTTGGCTTCCATGATTGTTGGGCTGGGTAGGCAAGTGTGACATTCATAGGACAGACCATCAGTCAGGCCAGCTGGAATTCTCAAGCCTAGGCTGAAGCTGCTATCTGTAGATGGAATTTCTTCTTCGAGTAGAGACAACATTTTTTCTAAGGCCTTTCAACTGATCAAATGAGACCCACCCAGGTTATCTAGTATAGGCTCTTCTATTTAAAATCAACTGATTATGGGGCGCCTGGGTGGCGCAGTCGGTTAAGCGTCCGACTTCAGCCAGGTCACGATCTCGCGGTCCGTGAGTTCGAGCCCCGCGTCAGGCTCTGGGCTGATGGCTCGGAGCCTGGAGCCTGTTTCTGATTCTGTGTCTCCCTTTCTCTCTGCCCCTCCCCCGTTCATGCTCTGTCTCTCTCTGTCCCAAAAATAAATAAACATTGAAAAAAAATTAAAAAAAAATAATAAAAATAAAATCAACTGATTATGGGCTTTAATTATGTCTACAAAATCTCTTAGCAATGCCTAGACTAGTGTTTGATTGACTAACTAGGGATTGTAGTCTTGCATATAGACACATAAAACTAACATCACAGTCCCCCAAATTCCAACCAGTCTTCCTTTTCCAACTAGGTAGGAGGCTGGATTATTCTTCATAGCAAGACAGATCAAATGCATAAGCAGGTATGAGAATTTAATTGTCTTCTATTCACATATTAAACAGATTTAAAATTTTTTCTCACTAATTTTTTTGTTTTAGAGAATAGTTATTTTTTGGAAAAATGTATGTTAACATGTAATGAATATATTATTTTTAAAGAAATGTATAACTTTTTAATTTCTGATTTAAGTTTCTAATACAGTAAATATAGATTAGTTCAACACACATAAGCAAAAACTCATTGGATTCTAAATAATTTTTAAGAGTGTCAAGGAACCCTAATTCTAAAGGGTTTGAGAACCATAATTCTAAACAAATGGAATTATTATATAACCTTACTCTTATCAATAAAACAAACACCTCAGTATTTATCCTTATATTTATAATAAATTATTGTAAATATCTTCTCTTGCACATCATGAAATAGTGTAAAAACTTGGCCTTACTTTATGAATGTAAAAACTAATCTATTCCTCCTAATGCATTGATTCAAACAAATTGTTATTCAAAGAATCACAACATCCTTTGTGACCTCCTACTGACTTAATCTAATGCTATAAAATACCTGTATGAATTTTGGCTATAAACACTTTCAACATCAATATTCAATACTTTATTCTAAAACTTAGTTTCTGTAGATCCCAGTAAGTTATCCTTGCCATTTCCCTACACACCATGGTCAAAATATTTATTCTGGGTTTTTTTTTATTTGTGTTTTATAGAGGAAAAATTATTAAGCTAGCAATGTGTGTAGCCTTGGGACTTGTGGTGAATTTCTATTCCAGTGGGTAAATATCAAGTTATTCTCCACCATTTAGTCGCCTTTTGATTAGCCCCGCCCCCCCAAAAAAAATTGGAGGAGAGAAAGTCCTGGAAAAGCCAAAATTGTGTTTTTTGGGGAAAAAAATGGCCAAAAGATGGTGCAGGATTCATTGGATGAAAATTTATCCAGGAAGAGCTGCATAACACATTCCAAACAGTTTGTTATATAATGTTACCCTGAAGAGTGAAGTAAAAGGAGTATAAATATAATCTTTTAAGACAGAAGTTGCAAACTAAGATTGCTGCCAGAATACAGCAGGTAACATAACCTACTGAAGCTGTTCATATGAGGAATGGGGATATTCGTGCCCTGTCCAAAATGGCTGGCCATTATTCAGCAATGGCCAACTCTTGACTAGTGGGAATGTGTATCCAGCGTTGTCAGTTCTTTAGCTTCTTCCACAAAAAAAGAATCTACATTATTATGAGAAATGTCCAATGTTCAAATGCTGCCAGCTAATATAAAATTTAGGTCTGCGTAGGCCAAACAAAATACTTCTGTAGATGGTAACCATTCTGTAGAATGGTAACATTCTGTAACATCTGGTTTAGGAACACCAGATATGACATGAATTACTTGGTGTAGAGGACCAAGAATATACCCTTCCCTAAGGTAGTCTTTTTTTTCCACCCGAGCCTGTCCCTACCCCCTTAACATTACTTACTATAAAGACTTCTCATCATTATTTTGTCTTTGTTTTCTAAAATTACTTCAGAAATAAAATTAATTGGTAGAGGCCCAGACTGAGACTTCACACTCCTTCAAATCGCTCATCTTTAAAAGATTGTTTAACATCTGGAAAAAGAACCAAGCTCAGGTGGGGGAAGAGGTAGACAAGACTCCCCAAACTCAATTTGTTCACTCAATAAATCAGTCCTGCCATTATCTTAATGCATTGCCTTGAGAATTCAGAAAACGTCTAAGACAAGATTTCTTAACCTCAGCAAAACTGACATTTTGGGACAAATAATTCTTTGTTGTAGGAGGCTATCCTGTGCAATGTAGAATGTTTAGCGGCATCCCTGGGCTCTATCTACCAGAGGCCAGTAGTGCCCCCAAGCAATTTGGCAAAAATGTTTCCAGATATTGCCAAATGCCTCCAAGAAACACCAGCAGCCCTTGTTGAGGACCACTGGTCTAGAAGTATTCATGCATGCCCCTTGGGGATCTCTCATCTTTTCTCAGCCTGCTTTCCCTGTACTCTGAGTTCTGGTTAATGAAATGTTTGATCATGTTACATTTGCAGACATGTTTGATGCCCTGGACAACTGTGCTGCTGTCCATCCCTTTGCTTCAGTCCTGAAGGAACTAGTTTTATGGCTAATGTCTCATGTTACCAATTCCTCCTCATGTTTTTACTTGCTTAAAACTTCTTTCAACTCTTGTTTATTAATCTCATAGCAATGTTTACAGCTGGTTAGCCACTTAAAATGTTTTAAGCTACTTTATGTTCCAAATGCTTAAAACGTTATTTTGCTTATTCATTTAGTCTAGACTCTTGCCTTTCTTATGACTAAAGTCAATGCTTATCTAATGTCTTAATTTATCAAAGTAACCATAAGATTTTTCCTTATGACTTTTTCTATTTCATTTGGTTTGAAGAATTTGATAACCCTGGATTGGGTTGGGTTGGGTTGGTTTTGAAAGAGCGCAGGGCAGAGGGAGAGGGGGGAGAATCTTAAGCTCCATGCCCAGCCTGAGAAAGTCATGGAAAAGCCCCCAATGTGGGGCTTGATCTCACGACTATGAGATCATGACCTGAGCTGAAATCAACAGTTGGCTTAACCAACTGAGCCACCCAGGTACCCCAGTAGTCTTGTTTTTTTTTATTATTATTATTAAAATAGTTATATCAATTTACTAAGGTTGCTGAGGAATTTAAATGAGTTATTATGTAGAGTGCTTAATAGAGTGTTCAGCATAAATTGGTCAATAACAGTTATAACAATTACTACTAGTAAAATTTTCACAGCTTGTAGTAAATAACTGGTCTTGAGTTTATAAAATTCATTCTAGTCATATGGTACTGGTGATGTGAGATGGGACAAAAAAAACCCTCTGTCAACAGTTACTTCTTTAATTGGCAAGTTTGGGCAACAACAGGCTAAACATGACAAACTGTCTAAAAATCATAAATGAAAAGCATGATACAATCAATGAGAAATGCAAATATATATAAAATGCTGAATTTGCTTAAGTGTAGAGAAGCTGACTGCTGGAAAGGGGAATTATATAAAGGTCTGCGATGTGTCATCCTTTAACGTGATTTATTAGAGAATTCTAGCAGCCAGGCAAAAGAAACATGGCCTAACCAAAACAGAACATAGCATCTTTTATCTATTATTTGTTATTAGGGTTCTAATTAACCAGAAAGTGGCATTTAATTCCAACTTCATGATATAAATAACTTGCCACATGCCTGTTAGTATTTAAATTTCTAAGCAGCTTAGAAAGTAAGCCTATGCTTTGAGCACTGTGTATTTACTAGCATGACTCTCTCATCTCAAAATGGTATGTCTCTCTCCCCCTTTTGTCCCCCACCCCCACCTCTCTCTCTCTCTCTCTCTGAGAAGAAAGAGCACTGGTTGTAGAAGTAAGGAGATATGGTTTTTAGTTCCGTCTCTGCCACTAATTTCCTGTGTGGCCTTAGGCATATTTAACTTCTCTAAACTTCAGTGTCCTTACCCACAGCACGAGGAAGCAGCACTAAACGACTTCTAATTACCTTCTGGTGCTAACACTTTGTGATTAACCAAATCTGTGATTCTAGGTCACACTTGTGATGAGAAACCATGAGACTCTAAGAGGAAAGAAAGAGGGCTTGCAAAGCATTCTTCTCTTTCAGCAGATGGAAAACTGTGGAATGCCAAGTGTCTTTTAAAAAGTTCTAGACTATCTAAAGTGTTAGGCAAATTTCATGTTCTTAAAAATTCCCAACTTGTATCTTACAGTTGCAGCTATTCCGATTTTAGATGTGTGGGTGTTTCATTCCTTCTTAAATGTTTTTATGTCCACGTTTCTTCTTAGTAGTCTGATAGAATCCAACAGTACACATAAGTTCACAATTACCCTAGCAACCAAACAAGATCCTATGGAAAGATATTCATGAAGTTAGACATTATCTTCACTTTTTCTCACCTCGTCTAATTCCCAAGCTTGGTAATATTCCCCTTTTGCTACCTTCAGAATAGGCTTGTTGCTTGCTCTAGTTTCTTTTTTGTTTATGGACTCACCCATAACTATCCATAAATATAGCAACTGGTTTGTGACATTTACCCCAATTAGTAGAATTATAGGCAACTCAGTAAAAAAGATTATACATGAAAATTTCCTTTAGGGTATGAATTGGCACTCTCATAAGCCCATAAATAAGTCTGATTTTCTGAATATCTGAAGCATTCACATAATCTGTAAGTATAATATATTGGTCCCACTTTCCTTATTTTGTATAATCAAATAGTAATCAATAAGAACTAGACCACTGCGAAACGAGACTTCTGAGGCTTTGAGGGTGAATTCATCACCAGCATGCATATAAAAGTCAATGCAGAGAGTCTTTTGTTTAAGTGCCCTTGAAACCCAGCAACTGAATTATGTTTCCAGGCCCCCAAGGAGAACTACAAGGTTATAATTGTCTCACACTTAATTACATGCATTGCAAAAGGTAAATGGACAAAGTCATTCTCGTAACAGGTATAGAGAATAAGATCGCTTATGAATTTTTATATTGCTGGCTCATTGATTCGCAGAAAGTAGAAATTTATGCAAGACCCATGTCTAACAGTGATGGTGCTGTGTAAATGCGCAGCCGAGCCAAGAACACTGCCTTCACTGTTCTGGGACTAGGGCCCACACTCACAGTCCTGCTATTCTCTCTCCCTCGTGGCCCTTGTGAGGTGGCTTATTTTTCCCACTTCCTTTACGGGCCACAGTTGTTTCTTGCCAGGCCATCTTCTTGGAGTTTAACACCAAGAGAGTGTTAGCTTAAAACCTTGTCTTGATGCCATCTGATAAAATCAGAGAAATGAAAGATGCCACAGGAAAGATAAATGATATTTTAGCCAAGCCGTACAAGAGAAATAGTGCCACTTTCAAGTTCTGTTTTCCATAGCTTCTAATGGAGCCTGCTCAAGAGGGAAGCCAGCTTTGCCGGGGTAAGTACAAGCCACCTGGCCCTTCCCTTATTATGGGGAAATGATT